TGCTTTTACTTTAAGAGAAACGAGGCACCGACTCACTGGCGAGGCACGTGTGCACGTGACAGCTTGGGCTCAATATTCGGTTTTGTTAATTTTAATTTCAATTGATTAGCTGCAGCGCCCAGATGTGGTAGATAATTAATAATTAATAATAGGAATAGCTGCAATTGGGAATGAGTAGCGGGGGTTGCATCCGAACTCCGATTCAGACGAGATGAGGCCAACCTCGCCTTTCTTTGCTTTTGGTTTTTGACCAGTCTCCTCTTAAATTACCACATTGCCCTTCCAAGATCTCTTGCAACAGTACACTACTTTATTTTCAAATATATTTTTTTTATTTACAAGAAAATTTACATATTTCAAGAAGCATTATTATATTTTCTCAAACTGTTTCTTATAAATTTAATATTTATTTTACTTGACAAATTTTTCACTAATCACATGAATAATTTAGTCTAACTATTAAATTTTTAAACATAATTATTATATTTAACAAATTTTCATAAACTATGTAAGTTAGTGATTTTTTTCTTATATCAAAAAATAGACAGGGTATTATTTATAGCTGTTTTTATAATTTTTTATTGTTTATTGTTATTCTCCTATTCAAACTTGAAAGCAATATTATCACATTAGGTATTAAATGTGAAATTTTTTTTAATAAGGACTCAAACTCTAAATGAAAATACGCAGGGACAAAGTTAAGATTTAAAAATAAGGGGAATTGAGGTTAAAAAACATATACATTACAAGTGTCTATAAATCTGGGAGCCAAAAGTACCTAAACACCTATATAATGCTAAAAAAATTTAAAAACTTGAAGTCCTAGTCCCTACTGGTTCCCCTCATGTTAATATGAGTAATTGCCAAAAGAAAAGTCATGTTGAATTTTATGGTGAAAATAATAAGGGAATGAGTAGTACGGTAAAATGGAAGTGAATGGAGTGAAAAAAAGTTTGAAAAAACAAACAAACAATGAGGTTGGAATAGATAACGCGGATTCTTTTACATACGCAAGATGACATGTCACATGACGGTAGAAGATGATTAGTGAGGAGAAGGGCAATATAGGAATTTCGAAATGCCTTAGTAGGGAACGTTGGGCTAGGGAGTGCAGAAAGGGAGGGGGGACAATGGCTTTTTGCAGTCCCGACAGTAATAGAAAAAACCCAAATAAAATAAAATTAAAGCTGGCCGCTGGCAAGAGGATAATATAATAATGAAAATATGAAATAGGTAAGGATATTATATTAATCCAAATCTAAGCCTCAGAACGCGAACTTTTAACTGCTGAAGATTCTCTCTGCCACCAGTATTTTCAATCCTGTCATGCTTATCCTGCAGGTTTCTCATCACGCCTTCTCGTTAAAGCCGCGTTTGCATTTCTTCACTTAAATGAGCACATCTCATTTACAAAACCAACCAACAAGGCAGTCCCCGAAGCCTTAACTCGGACTCTTTCCTAAATTGGTGACAACCAAACAAGTCATATCCTTAGACTCGTCCTCTGTGATTATTTGCATGACAGCTCAATGTACACAAGACACGTGCACTACGAGCGTCAGCGTGCGCGAGAACCAAAAGATCCTGTGTGGTGGGTGGAACTTCATTAGGTCAATTGTCTAAATTTAGGTGATTATTTAAATATATTAAGCCCATATTATCAAACCAGATGTCGTGGCATTTCTTTCGTCCACGAAGTGTGTGTGTTTTTTAATTATTATCGCGCTAACACAACAGCATTATAATCATGGTGGCGTGCTTTTTATTGTTTATGTGGATCCTTCTTTTACAAAAAAGTCTAATCAAGATGTGATTCATTGAGTGCTGAGTATGAACACTCCTCTGAACAAAAAATTTCAACATTAACTTACCATGTTATAAGGATATATAAGGGTATACTCACTCTATTTCTGTATATAAAAAAAAATTACATGATTTAAAAAAATCATTTAATTATAATAATAATGATGTTTGAAAATAAAAAATGTAAACTAAAATATCATATATTAATTAACATAAATATACATTAATTTTTTTATTAATATAAATTATGAGAGGTGATTTAAAAAATATTTAATGAATGCTCATTGAAATTGATAATTTTACTTATTAAAAAAATATAAATTAAAAGTGATAGTTTATCTATTAATAAAAAATGGAGGGAGTAACTTCTTCCGCTTGACCTAACCCCCTTAATAATCATGATTGTATTTTTTAAATTGATGCTGAGCCGCAAAAATATAAGATTGTGATAAAAAAATGTATTTGTATTTGATATTGACAAATATAATGCACATAAGTCTCTTTAAAATAAAATTTCTCTCTTTCTAAATATAAAATTATTAAACTTAAGGGTTCAATATAAACATATTACTAATCAGTGCCTCGAAGGAAACGGCTTTCGATAAAAGAATACTTGTGAATTGTGAGGAATAAGAGACAATATAAAAATAATTTTAACTTAAAAGTTGTAAAAATATTTTTACAATAGAGATTCAAATAAGCTATGAGTTATGCACTCATGAATGAATTGTCATTTGATAGTTAGGAGATTTTTAATGAAAAGTCATTAAGTGCGTGACGTGATGTCCAAAATATGTCTACATTCACCAGGTGAATTGGAATGGAGTAAAAATGATTCTTTTTAAAATTGTATATCTTGTTCTGTCGTTGAATGAAGGTGGATGTTTGATGCACTGTGCTAGTGATAAAGATACTGTGTAGCTGTGGGGTGGTCCTAAAAGTTTTACCTTTCCCTTTATTTTTCTGGTATTAATTGACGCTTTAAGATTTAACAATTTATGAAAATAATAAAGAAGGCTGTCATTGAAAATTTTGTTATCGCTGGTGATTGGTGATTAAATGATGCTCCTTTTATCTTAAATTATAAAATAATTTTTAAAAATTTTTTATCTTAAAATATTTTATATTTTAAGTAAATTAAAATTTTATTAAATATACCGTTTCTAATAATACTTTTTTATAATTGATTTTTATTTTTTCTCTGTTTAATGTATTAAATGATGAATATTTTTAAAAATTTATATTTTTATTTTTAAAAAAATAAGGCTGTTAAGTGTATTTAATAAATTTTATTGATATGTAAAATTTTATTTAAAAATGTTTTATAATTTGAGATAAAAAAAGTGATATGTAATCAGTGTAAATATAATTAACACAAAATCCCATTACTTACAAGCCACAAACATCACTATTTGTCCCGAGTTCCATGCAAATCTCTTGTTATTCTGCATCTGAATCTACACTAAAACACAAATGTTATTTTAAATTTAATAATAACGACGTCTCCTATCTTATTTCTGGATCAATGGGGCTTTATCCCTCCCGTCCCCCATTTTGCAAGTATTATATTTACTGGTGTGCCTTCGAATTAATTAGAAACTAGTCACATTTTTCATATAGTTTACCAATTTTCGAAATCCAATTTGCATTTGTAAAACCCGCATTTTAATGTTTGAAAGCAACCCTTTTCTCATTTGCAAAATCCAAATTTGAATCAATATTCCATCTTGTAAAAGTTAATTTCCAATAACCTCTGAATGAGCATCAAAACTGGGTTTTGCAAAAATCATTTCAGGGCAGATAACTTGTGTTTTGTAGCCAAACGCACACATAAATACTGAGTTCATTTCATCAAATAATTCTCAAAGAAACTGAATTAAATGTTTTTGAGGAGATGCTTCTCAGTTCTTTCCAATGAAAAATTGAACCCTTCTCCATGGGCGTCACTAATCCCCTCTCTTCTCAAGAAGCAGATTAGAATTTAACATCTTTTTTCCCGTTAGTAAATAATAATATACATCTCTCTCCACACATTACACCAAACTTTTTTAAAATCAATGTCATTTTCAATAATATAGGATACTTTGCCCTGCCATATATTCTTTATAAGTTGATTTTACATCATTATCAAACAAAAAATATACAAGTAAGTATTTTACGAAAATTAATGATTTTAAAATAAGTCAAAATATTTTTATATTACAATTAAACCTTTTTTTTTGAAACATTTGGATTAATTTCACTTCTTTATTTAAAAAAAACACTCATTCTATTGAAAAATATAAGACATTTTTAACCAAATCTCACATCTAATAAAATATTTACCTACTTTCAAACTAATCTTATCTTTCTATATTTCTCCCCATTAAATACCCTACAATAAACATAAAGTTGTTATCAATAGGAGTACTTAAAAAAACAATGATTACACTTTACACCTCAAAAAACTAAAAATGCTTTATATTTTTGAATAACCAATTTCTCAAAAAATGCTTTATATTTTTAAATAAAGAGAGTAAACAATTTTTATTTCAAATAACTATCATGCACGGATTTTATTCACCAATAAAATATAAACCTATATTACCATTTACAAATTTGATTATGGTAATTGACATACAACTTACTTTTTCTATTTAAAAATGTAAGATATTTTTTAAGGAGTTGGATATTAAAAATATAAGATATTTTTATTTTTTTAAAGTGTAATTAACATTTCTTTTTTTTAAGTAACTCTATTAATAATAATTTTATATTTATTATAGAGTATTTAATAGATATAAATATAAAAATATAAAATTAATTAAAAAATAAATTATTATTTTATTAAGAGATAAAAATTAATTAAAAATATTTTATATTTTTAAATAAAAATAATATACTCTAGTCATCAAATATTAAAGTAATGCCCACAGCACATGAAATTAGGATTCATTCTCGGGGCGGTAAAAGAGAAGCAAGGACGATGCTATTCAAAATATCGATGCAGCAAAAGGCGTGAGACAGCGACCCAAAGTAACCAACTTACTTTCGGGAGAAGATGAATTTTGTGGAAGAGACAAAAGGGTAAAAATGTGAATTGGGAAGAGAGAGAACGTTATCTCTTCTTCTTCCCCGCTTTTTTTCACCTGTGTTGCGCTCTGGAAGAGACAGAGGAAAAGGATAAAAGCTGTCCCCACAGCGTTTCATGGTCGCATACTTACTACATTCCCAATCTCTCTTTTCACCTCCCTCCTCTCGAACTACCCTTCCTTGGACCAGCACACCCTCACAGACTCAGGAGACGAGAGACCTCGCAGCGGAAAAAGTAATTCCAAAACAAATTTAAAATAAAAAGGTAGCTACTTGGGTGAGACGGAGAATTGGTCGTCTCTCTGGTGGTTAAGCACTGTAGAGCAGCTGTTTCGGAGATACGCAGTAAAGGAGAAGAGGTAAAAAAGAAAAAGGAAGGAAATAATAGTGACGGGGGTGGAAAAAAGGGTATATAGTGTGAGATAGAAAGAGAAAGGGAGGAAAGAAAGAGATGGTGGGCTCAGGAGCATCAGATAGGAGCAAAGAAGCTGTTGGGATGATGGCCCTTCATGAGGCCCTCAGAACCGTCTGTCTCAACTCAGACTGGACTTACTCTGTCTTCTGGACCATCCGTCCTCGCCCGTATGCCCTTTCTTATTCCTCTCTTTTTCGCTAATGCCATGGTTTCATTCCCCTGTTTCGTCAACTTCTTCCTCTTCTTCTCGCAGAAGAGTCAGAGGAGGTAATGGCTGCAAGGTTGGAGACGATAACGGCAGCTTGTAAGTTCGTTCTCTCTTAATTTCTCTCTGATTTTTTGAATACTCTGCTCTGGCAAGCTTGCTCTTTGTTTATGTATGATTACTTTCTTGGCATCCGAACAGAGTTTACAGTTCTATTAACTTTGTAAACCTTGATGTTCTGGTCATTAGTGATTCAGGGAACTGTTTAAATTAAAGATTTTGTGAATTGACGTGCGTTTTGTTGGGTGAAATTTGTTGGAAGGATGCTGATGTGGGAAGATGGGTTTTGCCGAGGAAGGGTTTCAGATTGTCTGGAGGAGATGGAAGGAGAGGATCCTGTCAGAAAAGCCTTCAGCAAAATGTCCATTCAGTTATATAATTATGGAGAAGGGTGGGTACTGGGTAGGTGTTTATAGTTTGTGGTTCTTCTCGTTCTTCCCCTCTCTCTGTCTCTCTGGGTCTCCAACCAACAACATTGAAGGATACCATGTGGTTGGAAGGAATTAACAGCTAGTACAAGAAGCACACTTCATCGTCTCTTCTCCGCCTCGTGTCTCTGATTGGGCCTAAAATGGTGTTTTTTTGAAAAAAAAAAAAAATAAATCAGGTTGATGGGCAAGGTTGCATCTGATAAGTGCCACAAGTGGGTCTTCAAAGAGCCAGCAGAATGTGAACCCAACATCTCCAACTACTGGCAGAGCTCCTTTGATGCTGTATGATAAATTGATGATGCTTTCTCTCCCTTCTTTTCCTTTCCCCTTTATAGATTGATTGCAACGCCACAGAATCTAGCATTAAATTTTAACCTTTTTATTGGTCATCTGTGGCTTTGTAGTGATTGATTGACTCAACTCCCTCTCTTTTTTGATGCCATTAATTGCAGCTTCCTCCCGAATGGACCGACCAGTTTGAGTCAGGTATTCAGGTCAGCAAAACAGAATCAATGTTATATCTTGACATTATCATTGGTTTCCAGGAAGCTTATTTTCAAGAACTTTCAAGTTGAAGTCCGTTAGATTTCTTATTTGCATTGCATTCAATTCATGACCAGACCATCGCTGTAATTCAAGCTGGCCACGGCCTCCTCCAACTTGGCTCTTGCAAGATTGTGAGTACTCGTACTCATTTTTGTTTTCAGTCTGCTTATCACAGACACACACAATTTGTGTTTGATGCTTGGTCATATTAACCCGGACGTTTTAGTCTTTAGAAATCAGTGGATTTCTCTGCAATACTGATATTTAAGATAACAGAAATATTTTAAAACATCACATCCTATGGGATGTGAAGTAACAATGTACCAAATGCTGTCAAGTTTTTAATATTTTCTGATTTGTCGTTAATCTCAGATTCCTGAAGACCTCCATTTTGTGCTGAGAATGAGGCACACATTTGAATCTTTGGGGTATCAATCTGGGTTCTATCTCTCACAGCTCTTCTCTTCAACAAGGAGCACTACATCTTCTACTTCACTCGCATCAAAACCATCCTCCACCATGCCTACTCGAGCGCCTCCTCCTCTCTTCAACTGGGGTCAAAGGCCGCTCGTAGCTTCTACTGCAGCTTCAATGCTATCCTCACCCAATTTTCAACACACAGCAAGACTCGGAGGTTTCCCACAGGCAAAAGACGAGACCCATGTATTTCTGATGCCTCATCATTCATCGTCCGGTCAACCTGCAAGAATGGAAGATATGATGGGGGAGAATGAGAATGACATAAAATGGCCAAATGGGCTGTCCTTCTTCAATGCTCTTACAGGACAAAACGATGATGCAACTAAGCTTCTGTTCAACCCTGAGAGCTTGGAGAACAAACCAGATGAAGCCTCAAACCCGAACGAGTTCTTGAGCTTGGACAGCCACCACCAGACAGATAGTGGGAGGAAAATGGACAAGTTTAAGAGGAGCTTCACTTTACCTGCTAGAGTGGCTTCATCTTCATCATCAACCTCCATGGATCATCATCAGCATCAGCAACAACAGCCACCTGTGGAGTATAGGAATTCTGAAGGAGGTATGTACTCGGATGTCATGGAGACCTTTTTGGAGTAAACTGAGGAAGAAGGATGAGGAGGTGTTTGTACGTAGGCACAGTTGATTACTAGTGTTCCTTTTTCTTTTTCGCCCTTACCATGTGTTTGTCTTCTTCCACTTTGTAATCCTGTGTTTGTGTTTTGACCTAATGGGACTTCATCAATGATCATTCCTTTGTTATTTCTCTTCTCATCCATCCTAGTCTCTACCATGGCATACTGCAGATTCTGTGGCTTTTAGTTTTTAAGGAGCTCATTCATTATTTATGCTTGACAATGACGTGGTAGGCTCAACGTGTGCAAGGAAAATTCGTTATAGGAAACATAAATTTCTCTCAAGTGATTGATATTATTGGTAATTAGATACCGGTGTATTGATCTATTCCAAAACCAGATTGATCCCGCTCGCAATGTGCCTACGAAGTTTACGCAGACACAAGATTGTTCATAGACATTTGTCTTTCCATCAAATCTTAATCGAGAATATGCTAGCAAATATCCTGGATTCCCTCGGATTTACCATTAGTGATTCCTATGCATAAGAAGACAGGAAAAAATGTGATTCAAAGTAAGTACTTGTTAAAATAAGGCACATTAGGCTTTGGGCAATACGTTAATGTCTTGTACAGAAATCGTCAAATCACGCCCTGACTTCGATCAGTGATTTGCTGAGATTAGGTATATAGTATTATCTGATTTATCAGATCTTGTGAGAGAACAATTCAATGCAAACCTTAATTTTCTTTCACACAGTGTCTCAAAATCAAACTATGTACTCTTTTGGTCAATCCTTTGAGATCGTAATCAAAAGTATGTTTTCCCATCCATGTACAAAAATAAAGAAATCAAATCAAGGGTTAAGCCGACATGTGCATCATCATACAGCCCAAGATCCAATATGAGACATATGATACACCCATTAAAAAAATAAAAAAAAACTCTCCAGTAGAAGTGTGAACCGATTTAATTAACAATTTAACCCTAGCTTACTAAACATTTAATCTTATTCTCAAAAATTTAATAAATACACAAGTGAATTTGAGGAATGAGGACATATATGTGCCAGTTCTTTCATCCGGTACGGTGGTTCAAAATTTTGAAGGAACTAACATGTAAGCAAATTAGCAAATTAACCTGTGCATTTATAGCTTTTGAGAATAAAATTAGGACTAAATTGTTAATTTGATGAAATTAAAATCCATATCATCATTTCACGTGCTCTTGCAGCATTATTTTCTGTTTTCTGGAGGGCTCCAAGGCATGGCACTCTCTGCATGCCATCACAATCCACCGAAAAAGTCTCCGGCCAACTGGGCACTTCTGATCCTCCCTCTTCTTCTTCTTCTTGTTCACCAAGTCCTCCTTCCTTCCTTTTCTCCGAAGCGAAGAGTCCCGGCTCAAGGTGGCAGACGGCATCGGCGTTATATATTGCCACCTCTGCGAACGCCCATAAGCCATTTTATTACTCCCCTGATAGGCCATCCCACCCGACGACGACACTCTATTATAAAACAACCGCCGCTCCGAGCTATCACTCGAGCTCGTCCTCGCACTGCTGCAACTACTGCTTCTACTGTTGGTGCTGTTGCTTCGCGATGAAAACACCATCGAATGCGAGTTCTTGCTACTGGTTCGGCTCATAGCGCGAGAAGTATTGTCGTAAAGAAGAATGGTGGGGTGGGGATGGAGTGGCGGGAAAGAGTGAGGGAGGAGGCGGCCGTTGAAGAATATGTGATCGGCCGGGGAGGCTCTGGAGGGATCGCTGGAGGGGGAGTCCGGGGTTATGGATCCGAACTCGAAGTCGTCCCCGTCGTCGGCGCATGAGTCTTGGTTGGGGGTGCCGGGGAAGGAGAAGGAGTCACCGGAGCTGCTGTTGTGCCGCCGCCCGTGGTGGTCTTCCATCATGGGGGTTGGTTTGGTGTGTGGTTGTGTTACAGTGAAGATCAGTGAGGTCGATGAAGCATTTATAAAGAGATAGAGATACGAGGAATATGAGAAAGAGAGAGGAATGTGGGACATGGTGGGAGTGAAAGGAGGTGTCATGTTGGGTTCAAAATGAGAAAACTAAGGTGGTGTGAATAATGTAAGGCATAGATGACAACTCAATCTCTTGTGCTCAACATATGCAGGATGGTGTTGTAATCATGCTCTCTTAGCTTCTCTTACTGTCTCACACAAGTGTTATTACCAAGTGTTCCTCACACGATTTTGTACTGAAAGAACAATTTTCTTTGGATTAATTTTAATTTCTGCATATGAAATTAAAATTGGATATAAAGTTCTCTTCACGTACGTTTACTTTTTAGCGTGAATTCAAAACAGTTTGAAGAAAAGTCATAGAACTAAGAGACATTGGTGGAAAATATGTTGAAATATTCAGAGGAAGAGAACGACAGATGTATTGTATAGGAAAAATAAGTGAAATAACGTGGGAAAGGACCTGTGATTGTTATAATGAGGACGAAGCTTTTTGTTGCGGGAGATGGGCTGGTGGATAATAATGAGATTGATCGAGAGGTTTAGTGGGTTTGGAAAGTGGAAATTCGCACAATCATCATGTCTCTTGTCTGCAACATCTTTGATTATTCAGTCTTTCGTTAATCCCAAGTACAATTATAAAAGGATTACTAGCTCTCATTTAACAATGACCTCTCTGAGCTCGCTTTTTGTGTTTTGGTTTTTCTAAGCGACACAGAGTCCCAAATATGCCCTTTCCCATACACATTAAAGCATAAAATTAAAAAGGAGGAAAAGAGAGAGAGAGAGAGGCTATATTATATACAGAGAGAATGAGGTATTTGAGGAGTGGTGGTGGGGAAGAGTGTGGTAGCCAGCTTTGATTGTGAGAGGGAGCAAAGGCTTTGTCAAACGACTAAAATAAGGCAAGGGAAATGGAGGGAGTGTGTTGATTATGCTAATTATAAGACACTCTTTGATTTGATGAGTCTGAAAGGAGGGGACACAGTGGGGATTAGGGAATTGCTTGGTCTGTGATTTGGGTTTGTGATGAAGAAGACATGGGGTCCCATTTGAGATGATGATGCCTATGGGACCACAGGTCAGCCAGATTCAGTCGTGTCGCCCTTTTAATCCAACCCAAGCAAATTATTTCTCAATCTTACTTACGAAGCACACTTGTGTTGTGAGGCCTGTCCTATGTGGCAAAGTTCATCGGTTTCAAGACAATTCTTGTTCAAGCCTCTATAATTACTCCGTTTTTTTTTAAAACAAAAGTCTTTCTTTTGACTATATCTCTGAGTTTGTTGAGCACCGCTTTCTATGCGCCTACTTGGCTAAGTCTTAAGATAATTTTGCATACCATCGACATGGAAAAAAAATAATAGTAACAAGGTGCGTGTGTGTAGTACATTATATGATCTTTACAAATAGAAACTATAGATTGATCTAGTTCTTGGCTTACTATGTGTTATGTGCAATTACATTTATGTTCATCCATGTATATTGTTTATACAGTATAATAAATATAACATATATATCTGTATAACATAACAGTCTTTTTCCTTTTTTGGGAGAATAGCCAATATTATTAATAAAAGTTAAAAGTAAATATGTGCAAACATTAAGGAAAAGACACGAGAATTGTCCCCCCCCCTCCCCAAAAAAGAAGAAGAAGAAGAAGAAGAAGAAGGAAAAGACACGACAAGAGTCGCGCGCGTCTTCCTTAATAGGTTCAGCTGAAAACACGACAACTTAATAATATAACATAGTCGTCTGCTTATAAAATTTGGAATGAATTGAATTCATAGTAATTGTTAACAAAATTTAATCATTTTAATCAAATTTTACTTTCAAGGAATTTGAGCGTATTTTTTTTTAAAAGAATTTGAATAGAAAGAAATATTTGGGAACATCTGATGAAATTGGAACGATAAATAGTTATAATTGGATTTTCCATTAGTTAAATGATTTTTTTAAAGGAAAGGTTTTAACTTCAAAATATAAACTCCTTTAATTTAAACTTGGTTAGGACTTAGGCCTGCAGATTTCGGACACATTTGATGGGTGGATTGGGTGTGATGGTCCAATCAAGAGAAGGCTCCACTTTGTTGCCATGAGGCCGAATGTTGTCCACTCTGGCCCAAATATAATCAAACGGCAAGCCTATTATAAATCAATAACTAATTTTCTTTTGGGAAACACACACCCACACACTTTTCTTTCGATTCTCATCACAAGACACTTGCAGTTATTTCATACAGTTTAAAAAATTATTTTTTAATATCATAAAAAATAAATACATATTTTTATTTTTATCTTTGACTTTTAATAGTAATGTAATTACATTAAATTCTTTCACAATAATCAAGAAAAGATAAAATAAAAAAATAGTTTAAATATTATAAAATATTCTATACTTTAGGCTAAAAATTATTTAAAGAAGGTGTTCAACAAATAGGATTGGAGGGAGTATATAACTATAGAATTAAAAGTTCAGTATATTTTTTTTAAATAAGTAATAAAGGAGTAGTTTTATTTTTTTTTTAATTAGATGACACAGGATTTATCAAAAGAGGAAAGGAACTATCTCTCTGAAAGTCAAATGGATTCTAATATTTATTGCCCCTGTCTACGCTCAAACAGTGATAGAAATAACTGAGAGATGCGATCTTACCAAAGCAAAACAAACAAAATAAAAATGTTATTATTGAAAACTTCATTAGGAGATGTACTCAAAACAGTTCACATATTATAAGTCTACAAGCTACACGCCTTGGATACTTTCGCTGGTTTTTATAATTTATGGTGAAGCACAATCATTAATTTTTATAATTTCATCAAGTTTTATTTTTAATTTTTATAATTTTTTTTTAATGTTTTCAGTCTAAAATTTTACTAAAATTGCATGACGATTGTTATTAAGTTCCTGTGAAACCAAAATCACTAAAAAATTTTTACACAAGTTAAAAGCAAAAGCTGATAAACTTCCTTATTTATTCTTAGAACAAAAGTTATGTGCCCTGGCAAGTAGGTAGGAAGCCAGGAGATGACAGAAGACAGAGAGCCTGCCGCTGTAACTGTTTAGCTTCATCTGATATGGAAAGACTTGCTGCTCCAATTCCCAGAATTAAAGTTCATCTGGTTCCCTCTTCTTCCCCTGTCATCAACATGCCTGATACGGCCTTCCATTGGGTTATGATGACTTTCGCCGCCATCGCTGTGAGTTTCGGCATTGCTTTTCCGCCGCCTCTCATTGTGCTCCGCCAATCTCCTCCGGCAGCTCCTCTTGGCATCATCAAATTCCGCTATGTCGTGGAACCTGCACATTCCCCATCAATGTTTCTAATAAGACGATCATTTTAAAGGCATAAAATTGAACCTTGCATTTGACATTCATGATTCTTTGAGCAAAAAGAACGTTCAGATCAAGTATCATAAATTGTAGTACTCTACTATTCCACTATTCCTTGCCTTCTTTACAGACACAAAATTCCTGGTTCAATGTTAGAGATGACTAGGGATGGATTACCTGCTACATTGCTGGCAAAACCTCTGCCTCAGCCCTGCAACCATCACAACAGAAGCCTTGGAATGAAACTCGCATACTTTATGGCGGCGATGGTATCTCTTTGCATCAGTCAAGTTAGCTCCACACCTCTCTGCTTGGCAGGAAGGTGCAGAAACTCTATAACCACCACTTGATCCTCTTCTGTTACTCCCACCAATTCCTTTCTTCTTGTCCTCTTCTACACGACCACCAGTACCGCCCCTCATTTCCTCTTCTTCCTCTTCTTCATCATCTGCTTCTTCAATTATTTTATGCTTTGACTGCTCAGTGGATGGTCGTTTCCTCTCAATACTCTTGGCCTCCATTGTGCAGCTGACAAAGAGGTGGGAGTGATGATGAGGAAGAAACCTGTGACTATGAGGAGCAATGAAGTGAAAGAAGGTTATTTATAGGAAGCACAAAGGTAGAAAAGACAAGGTGATTGCGAGTGTGTGGACCATTTAGTATCAACATAAGATTTTTTTCTGTTTGTATTTAGTGTAGGGGAGGCAATGGATGCATGGAGGAGGGGTCTGGAAGTTCTGATAACTTAACACAGGAAATTTTGGAATCCTGCAGTTAGTGGGTAGTGGGGATCGATCTTGTATAAATGGTGTTTTGGAAAATGATAGGCTTACAGATAAATACAAGCGAGTCAATTCCAAATGCTTCATTGTTGATGCTGAAGTACACCTGGAAGGAGGAGGATTTTGCCCTTTGTTTATTTTGTTACTCTAACGTTGCCGACCGTTTGAGTTGGACTTAGGTAGGCCTTATCTCTCTGTTCTACTTGGTTTTACTTCAATGGGAAAGATTAAGCATTTACCTAAGATATGCAGGATGAAGAGGCATTTATGCACTGGATTCAATATCTAATGTATTGTTAAGAGTCTTGCAGAAATAAATAGTTATACATTCACAGAATTTTGCATTCCTCTTCCTATTCTGTCCATGAGAATCAGAATGTAACACCTATCACTCTCTTACAGTGGGCTTGGTCCACCCCCTTCTTCCTTTTATTCTTCTTCTGTTTGTCACATAGTGAAGACTTGCAGAAAGGAGGACTCAGAAGAATACATTTGTGATATCATCTCAGAAGGTCCTTTTTTTTTTGGTTGTTTTCTTTTGCATTATGCAGTACAGTTGTGAAGAATTCTAATGTGGAAGGACAAATGAGAGAAGGCCTTGTGGTAGAAAATTCTTCATTGTCTTTTAATGAAAGATATGGAAGGGACAGCTACGTGGTCATAATCTTCAAGTGGTATGGAATTTGCTGAGTATGGAATTTGTTGGTCCCAAGCTTTTACATCAATTAAGCCTCAAGTTTGCGTCTAGTTTTCGCAGCCGAGTTTTGAAGTATGTGATCACGAAGTTTCCTTACAGCCTTCTTGAAAGATACAGCAAATCTCGATATTGCTCTTTTTTTTCCCCTCTTTTTTGATATCACTTGATATTGCCCTTTTGTAGACTTGCTTTTTCTCTGATTCATGGCATGTCGTTTTTGCTACTACTTTAGACGAGGACTTGTGCGTATCTGATTCTGGCCAACTTCAGACATAAGTGAATAAGTCCAAAAGGCCAACAATTAACTTATTTTTCTAGAGAAAATATTCATGCCAACTTGAGTTTCAGAATCTATTATATACCTCAATTTATCATGAAAACTAGTTAAAATACAAGTTCAATATTTCAAACTAAGTAGTTTATGAGTCTATCATGCCCTATAAGTGATCATTGTCCACTTATCCAAAATATCAAGCCCCTTTGCTACAACGTTTTCACTTTACATTCACAAGCAGCTTAACCGTTTGGGGTGATGGGAAAGTAAGTGAACATCACAGCTTGTTAGGAAAAGAAAAGAAAGCACAAAATTAAACTGACATTCATACAAACTATAGCTCCATCTTGTCACATCCATCTCCAAGCTGTCCCTTCAGATCCTCAGCACACCTGTACTCCGCTGTGTCAACAACGTTGGTATCAGCTTCTGCTGTAGTTGTCTCTCTAATGTTCTGGGTAGCCTTCTTTGTAGCGTCCCATGCAATGTCCGCTGTCTCCTTGGCTGCTGCTCCAACATCCTCCACAACCTCTGCTGCTTTCCTTGTCCCTTGTTTTGCTGCATCAGCCACGTACCCTGTCACTCCACCATCCTCATCATCATGACCCTGAAATGATAACATGAAAAAATGATTCTGCTATTGATACAGATATTGGGCAAGATCACAATATGTAAGATTACAAGGACGTACTTGAGGGCGTGGGTAAGCAGTTGAGAAGCACCTTGTGTTGGTGGCGATTAGGGGGACTGGAGGAAGACATGAATGGAGGTGTTTGGCAAATTGTTTGGAAGAGAGAAGAGGAAATCTGTTTGCCATTTTGGGTATGTGAGAAGATGATGGTGAGGTGGAGCGTGTAACCGTGTGAATTATAGTACTGCGAGGGAGAGTAGGAAAACAAAACGGAGAGAAGATAAAGAGGAGAGGTTGGGTCGGTGACACGTGGCGGAGTTAACACGAATGATAAGGATGAGTCATGAATTCTGGAGCTTTAGCTTTAAAGCTTGCATGACACTCGTAAGAATCTGCAGCCGGTGAGAAGAAAGGAAAGATAACATAGAAAGATGATTCTAACTTGACAAATCGAAAGATAAAATTAGATAAAAAAATATATCTTATATTTCTCAATCCGACGGTACTGTGCTAGTTAAAAAGAAAAAAAAAAGAAAATAAAAAGAAAAGAAACCGATGAGTACTGATAAAAGCCCATACCATAAACTGGGAAAGGGAATGCTGTTGCGCCCCTTATCATGCATCACGTTTCTGGAAGTACGGCACCTCGGATCTTATCCGGGTCATTAAAATAATCATATAGTAATAAAACGACAACCACCACCATAGCACGGTTCAGACTCCATTGTTGACTTGAGATGGCGGAAATCAAGATGATTGGAGTGGTGGGTGGTGGCCAAATGGGCTCCGGAATTGCCCAGGTCGCCGCCATGCACGCAATCGACGTCTCCCTCTTTGACACCGACCCTCAAGCCCTCGCCAGAGCCGCCACCTCCATCTCTGCTTCCATCAACCTTCTTGTTTCCAAACTTCGTCTCTCCCAAGTGAGCTACTTTCCCTCTTATGCTCTGTATTGATATTTTCAAGCATCTAGACTCGGTGGAAGCATTTTATGCTCTGCATCGTGTCCTTAGAACTGAAATTTAGGTCTGATTGATTTTGCTTCCTATCTGTTGTGTATTCGCTCTTTCTCGTTCGATCTTGAATATTTAGTCACATAATACCCCTTCACCCACTAAATAGACCAAATAAATAATGTGTTTTCTGTTCCCGTTAATCATACCAGTTCGTTTTCTAAGTTCAAGAGGGGGCCATTCTAAATTGGGATCATCCACAGATCATGGGTAGCTTAGCTATACGATTGCTTTGAATTCTGTAGTCCAATTATCCAACGGTATTTAATGACTCCCGGGAGAGGCAAGCCGGCATTACCAACTTTCTAAAATATCAGAATTAAATTTACATTTTTTAAGGGCCTAGTTGTGATGATTTGGAAAGTGATGCTTTATTCCTAGCTTGGGCTACAATGACAATGAAATCACGTGCTTAGTCGAACTGTCGTAAAATATTCATATGTAGGTAAAATTTTATAAAATTCTTCAGAGACCAAACATGCACATACACAATGTCGTTTTATTGTAATTTACTATATAAATTCATTCTCTTTACGGTGTTTGTGTCTTTCAATGTTTTGGCCTGTATAATTTTCAAGTATCGAATTCCAACAGGCGCAAGGTTCTGATATCTTGGGACGTCTGAGGTATATCTCAAATATGGAAGACTTCCATTCTGCTGATCTTATCATTGAAGCTATAGTAGAATCAGAAGATGTAAAGAAAACTTTATTTGTTCAACTAGACAAGATTGCTAAGAGTTCTGCCATTTTGGCGTCTAATACAAGTTCCATCTCGATCACTCGTCTAGCATTTTCAACAAGCAGGCCACAACAGGTTTTTAATGTGAAGCATTTCATCTATGGAGATTGAAGTGGTGTTTTCATTACTATAGATTTTATTTTGGCAAATCGCTGCTGCCAGAGTTTGTTACTTTACATTACAACAGATAGTTTATTTCCATGAGCTTGCAATGATTTCACGTATAAGTAGTAAAAAGTAATTGATTTCATCTGTAGGTAATCGGAATGCATTTTATGAATCCACCTCCTGTCATGAAACTGATTGAGATTGTGAGAGGGGCAGACACTTCAGATGAGACATTCAGGGCTACAAAAGCATTGTCTGAGAGGTTAGTTAATTTCTCCCAGATTCCTCTGGCTCTTTCTTGAAGATTTTGATTCCCTCCTATTCTTTATTCAAGTTTACCTCTGTCATTTTAAGTTGAACTTTCTAATCCTCCTCCTACTTGCTGCTTCTCTTCCCCACAATGAAATGTAAGCCTGAACGGGCAAATGCTGTGTGTATGACCGTGATGCGGTGGACTTAACACTAACGGATGCACTTTGAAGCTGATATGTTCCCATTCTTAATGATAGCAGATATGGAATCAGCATACATACCTGCAACAAATCTGAAGTGCATTGTTACAATCACAAGTCCTAAGTGAGATCCCATTCCAAAAAATTAATCCATTGGGTGGGAGACTCTTGAATTTATAAATCCTATTTCACATGTGAAGCTCCTTGACATGAGATTCATAACATACATTATATATAACATGTCAAGCTAAGGCCTGTCCATATTAATTAATATTATTTTCTAGAAATAAGATCATCTAGCAATTTTTCTTGAAATGCATCTGATCTTAGTCCTCAATTTTAGGATTATCCAATATCTCATCTTTCTTGTAACTTCATTTATAAAGTTTCCTCTCCTTTTCCACTTCTCTTATTTGGTAAATACAGCTTGATAAGCAAATCATATCATGTTTGCTGAAATGTACTAGTTGTTCAAAACATGCAGGCTGGGTAAGACAGTAATAACCTCTCAGGATTATTCGGGCTTCATAGTGAATCGAATCCTTATGCCGATGATAAATGAAGCATTCTTTGCTCTTTACACTGGAGTTGCAACTAAAGAGGATATTGATACAGGAATGAAGCTGGGAACTAATCATCCAATGGGTCCTTTGGAGCTTGCAGACTTCATTGGATTGGACGTTTGCCTGTCAATAATGAGAGTTCTTCATGCTGGCCTTGGTGACAATAAATACGCACCCTGCCCTCTGCTGGTCCAGTATGTTGATGCTGGTCGACTAGGAAGAAAACGAGGCATTGGGGTATATGTCTATCGTGAGGAGCCAAGGGTGAAGAAATTATCTCGTCTCTAAACTGTTTAGTTGGATTATAAAATGGCTTAGCAGCTCATCTGGATTAGTCCCATGGCAACTTTCAGACAGCTGAAATTGGAGTTGAATTTTACTGAAACCAATGGAATTCCAATGTATCAAATATAAAATTCTGTCGATTCTCACATAAATGTGGACAATGAAATTCCACTGCATGAAAGGAAACCCATGCCTAAAATGATAATAGGAGATACGGTGTAGCATGTAAAACTTTCAGATGCTTCTTAACCAACCAGGCAATCAGCACAATTTCTTGTTCTGCTGGCGTAGTTTTCTTGCTTTGTATAGTTTCTTTTGACTGGTGCGTATGTGAAGGGAATTATATGTTATGATTCATAAAACTAAAAATTGGTCGCTTTGAAAGAAGCTTTCATAATGGGTTTGTTCAATGGTCTGTGGCAACTGGCAAGTATGTAACAAGCTACCAGATGGTAGGAAATTTGTTTTTCAATTCACCGCAAGCATCATTTTGTTGGAAGTAAGTTTCTGGCTTGTCCAATAATGATGACACCACTGCTAAAGGTGCAAGTAAGATTGTACTCGATAGTGAACCTAAAGAAAAGTTACAGACTCCAGGGCCTAAAGTTAATTGGAAGAGATATTTGTATGTTGCAGACATCATTTTAGAATAAGAGGATGTGTAACTATAGCTGAACAGGGATAGAAAGATAGAATTTGGAGTTAAATAAATCTTGAAACTAGGTTTTTCATATTCAAATTACATCCCTAGGGATTCAACTCTTAACTTCACATGTTGATGGTTGCATTCTCATTGCTTGCCAGGAAAAAAAGGTTGTGCACTTTGTGAAATATGTGAGGGCAATGTGATCCACAAGGAAAAGTAAGTGGCTGTAGGGAGACTAGTGATTACAAAATAAAAGATTCTTATCATGACAATTGATTTTTATCTATTTACTAATATATTTTCAATAAGAAGTTCTATTCCTAGTCATCCTCGAGCACCCCGATTTCAACATAGCTGGACCTTCCTGGCTACCTACCACCCTATAATCACTCTAGAGGTGTCATCATTATTCGGCAGACGTTATAGTTGATAAGGATTGGATTAAGATAAAAGAAAGTGTATAGCATATATGGATAAGAACAAAAAGTAAGAAGAGAAAGCTTGAGACAGCTGAAGTTTTCCTTCGTCTGGGATTTGAGATCTGAGCAAGAAAAGCGATGAAGTTCCTGTTTCAGTGCCCCTGCTGCTCATGCTTCTGCTTCTTGAAGCCCAAGAAGGGAAAGGCAAAGCCAAAGGCCGAGGAAGTCAAGGAAGAGAAGCAAGAAACCAAGGAAAAAAAGAAAGAGTGATGCTACTGATTGCAAAATGCTCATGATGAAAGTTCATCTGTGATTGTTAGTCTCTCTTTTCCTTCTACTTCTCGCTTGTCTTCTAAACATGCTCATAATCTTGAGTCTGCTTTGTACTTCCTGAATATGCCATCCAGATACGAGTTTCAAATACAATGCCTTTAACTTCTAAGAATGGAAAATAACTTGCACTGTTTCTGTCATAATCATACTCATATTCTTGTGTATTCTGCTGTATAACCTAGACATGTTCTAACTTTGAAGGAGCAAGTTCTGTATTAAGCATAAAGCTTACTTCAATCTCCTCCCACGTGGTAATTATTCTCTCTGGAAAAGAATATTCATCCAGGCTCTAGGAGTTGGAAGTGAAAATCCTAGTTACAGACACAGTAGCTCTTTACTTTCAAAAGATAAGATAGCCAACGAAGAGGCAATCCAACAATTTCACGAGTTAAATTTGTTCAATACATCATATTTGAAGATCCAGAGTTGAAAATCAGAGTTGGCAGAGACAAGATCCTTGCTTAGATCTGTTTTTTCCTTGCTGCTTTTTGGCTCTTTTTGCGCATGATCGATCAAGTCAGACTCATCTGTATAATAGCTTTGTTTTTCTGTTCCCTCTGAATAATTTAGCCCGCATAGAGTTTGAGTGCTGTTTCAACCTTCAACCTTGATATTCCTTGCAAATAAAAAGAAGGTTAAAGTGGCAAATTTTGCCATATATTCTGTCACTTAACTTATAATAAGATATTTTTAAATAAAATTTTACATATTAATAAAATTTATTAAATATCTTTTACAATATAAAAATATAAATTTTTAAAAATGCTTTTCATTTAATATTCCATCAATAAAAGAATATTGAAAAGAAATAATATATGAAAAAAATAATATTATAAAAATTTTATTAATAAAATTTTATTTTTATTAAAGTATTTTATATTTTAGGATGTTGAATATTTTTAAAAATGTCTTATAATTTAAAATGGAGGGAGTATTATTTTTTGAGAAGTATTTGATAGTTTAAATTATTAAATAGTGTAAAATAAATTATGAACTTTTAAAAATAAAATTTTTAATAGTTTGTCATTAACTTCAGTCCATGGATGTTATGTGCGAAGTATAATAACTCGCAGTATGACATAGGCACAATATGTCAATATGATAAAAAGAAGTATAAATTTAATTATGAATTATTTTTTGAGGAGTATTAAATAGTCTTTGCTATAAAAAAAAAAGGGAGCATTCAACATTTTTCCTTCAATTGTGATCAAACACACTTTATTTTCATATTTATGAAATTTATAAAGTATTAATCTCTCTAATTATTTTGCCTTCATTTTGGATGTTTTTTTTTATAATAAAAAGTACTCCATGTTCATCAAAAAATAATTTATAATTAAATTTATATATTTATTATGCCAACGTGTCGTGTCTTAATGTCTGTGTTGTGTTATGTGTCATTGTGAGATTTATATAATGCTTATCATCTGAAGTTAATGGTAGGTTATTTAATGTTTAATTTTTGAAAATTTATGAGTCATTTTATATTATCTAATAACTTAACACTCTTTAAAAAATAATATATTATCAAATTTACACCTTTACTCTAAAAAGGAATTGAAAGATGAGGCCAGAACTGAGATACCTGCGATTCAATTCCTATTGAGCAGGAAACAAATTGACACCCTGGCAAAAGTTTCTGAGAGCAAATGAGAATAAAATCTCACAAGATATACAATAAAGAATCAAGTCTCTTGATCATAATTTTATTTTTACAAACTTTTTTATCATTAATTAATAATTTTAAAATAAATAATTAAATTTTTTTATTTAAAATAAAAATAATATATCTAGTTTCAGTTTTTTAATTATAGCTTTTGTTTAAATAATTATAATTTTTATTATGTGAATGATAAAAATAAAAAAACTTGTAACTTTTCAGGATTGATAAATAAACTCTGAAAATAACATATTTAAGTTATAATTTTTATTTAAAAAATTACAATTTTAATTTTACAAATTATAAAATTTAAATAAAAAATCATAATTTTTCATGTAAATTTTTTTAGTTATTGAAGTTTTGAAAATAGTCTCTCAAGACTTTTGTTTAAATAATTATAATTTTTTTATTAATATCAAAAAAATTGATTACAAACTTTAAAAAATCATAACATTTTAAAAAATTTGAATTGTTATATACATATTTTAACAAAATTTTATTGTCATTTTTTAAATTTTAATATTTCGTGTCATATCTTTTTCTATTATCTTTAAAAGAACAAGAAACAAACAAACATGTCAAATTTTATCATCGTACGTTACACTATGACTACTGTAACGAGGTTTGGTACGTGTACTGAAAAGAAAAAAAAAATAAAATGAAGAGATTAATTTTTAATTTAAAATAAGACGATGTTAAATAATAATTGTCAAAATATAATCTTACCAAAAACAAAAGGAGAGAGCTACTGCCATCAGATACATAGTACAAACTGCAACTGCCACAATTTTTTATTAATTATCATCATCATCATAATCTCAAAATATCTCATTACTATTGAATTTAAAAACAACAATCGGTTGGACGTTGAAAACTGCTCCATTAAATCAAATTGCTGAATGCAGAGTCATAACTCACTCCTTCCGTTTTAAATATAAAAGAAAACATACAACTTACACAATTTAAAAAAAATAGTTAATATAATAATTATATCTAAAAATAAAAAATAAACTAAATGATCCTTATAATTAATAAAATAAATTTTTATAGTAAAAATAGAACATTGAATTTATAAGAAATAATTTTTAAAAAAAATATAATAAATGTTTTTTAAAATTTATAATTTTTCTTATAAATGAAAGTGAAGAAAAAAATGATAATTTCTCTTATATTAAAAAATAGAATGGTACAAGGTAGGTTTAACTATTTCACTACAATCAAGAAAAAATATTTTTTTTTGGCTAAAAAAATAGTTAAGTCATTAATTTTGTTTAAAAATTAAATAAACTTTTAATTTTACATCTATTTAAATAAAAGTTTTTTAAATTTATATTACATTTTTTTCATAATTAACAGATTTAAATAGAGATAATATTATGAAAAACGTAATTAATACTCCCATTAAATGTCTTATATTGAGAAATTTTAAAATAAACCTAGTTCACGTCATCTATAATTTATTCAATAAAATTATACTCATTTAATTGAATAAAACTTTATGTGCTATTATTTTTAAAATTTTATTTTTCTAATAGAATTTTTATTTAATTTTAATTTTTTGTGATTATTAATACTAAAATTAATTTATATCTAATAGTATCTGAATTATCACGGTTTTAGTGGATGCCATGACTTTTCTTGCCCATAATTTCTGCCATCCTAAATATTTTTAAATACCACGCGGGGAGCAGAGAAAGAACACCGAAAACTAGAAGAAAAAGATGTTGGAGAACAGATGTTCAAATGGCGAAGAAACACAATCGAATCCTCTATTAGTAGAGGTCACGGATTGTGGAGAAGAAGCACAAGAGCACACCAGAATTAACAGCGGTGGTGGATGGTGGAGCAAAGCCTTGGACTTGGAGGAAGCCAAGATTCAACTCGTGTTTTCACTGCCTATGATTCTCACTAACGGGTTCTATTTCTTAGTCGGATTGGTTTCTGTCACGTTCGCCGGCCACCTTGGTGTCCTTCAACTTGCCGTCGCCACTCTAGCTAACTCATGGTTCAATGTCACAGGCGTCGCCGTTGTGGTGAGACATATTCTTTTCCTCTTTGCATGCTTATTTTCCCACACTACAATATTCTTAACACTTCAAGTACACTAGTTTTTGGTTCTAAATTCGAATCAAGGGGGAGTTATTGATTGGGTAGGTTAGGCAATTCCTAAATGGGATTGTTTGATCAAGACAACATTAAAGTGGGTATTGTCCCTCATTCCA